ACCCTTAGCAGATTGCAGCGCACCCTTCATGCGACTCGCCGAATATCTCACGACGCTTCGCGNGTTGTAAAACAAGTCAAATCACTTCGTGAACTCGGCAACCAGGTTACCGTTTTTTTTTCACCTCTGTTTCTTTTTTGGCGGTAACCATAATGGTGGTCGAGTAGATCATGTTGTGCGGGGTGGAGAACCCTCACTCCGCGCAAGGGGGATTATCGCACCACGTTGTGTTAAAATGGTCAAGCACCCTCGAGGCAGTTACACAGTGCTTACAACTGTCTCTGGAAGTGAAAGCACCAGAAAATAAATTAATTCATACGCAGCTGTCATCCGTACGCAAGGAAGTAAGCACAAGATGCCGAACACCCTTAGCAGGATGCAGCGCACCCTTCATGCGACTCGCCGAATATCTCACGGCGCTTCGCGCTTGGTGATGTGAGAGCCTGGTCCGGTGAGAACCCGGCGTGCTCCGTCCCGGCTTTGTAGGGATGCGAGGTCAATGGTCTAACGACTACGGCATGCACGACTATGAGTACACCCCCCCTCCTACCGAGAATTGTATGGGAGGCGAAGTGGGCCAACAAAAAGAGGGGTAGACAACCCACGGAATGGGTCAAGGTTGTAGAGGACGTACGGAAGGGGCTCGACATCGACGAAGATGAAACGCTGGAAACGGAGGGTCTACAGGGGTTCAAGGAGAAGATATCTGTTGCTATCTGTTGCTAGTGCCGAGAGAGAAGAACAGAATCTAAGGAAAGAATCCAAGGATAAGGAGGGTCTAGACGTGTACGGAATGTTGAAGGAGGGAATCGGGTTCAAGGATTACCTACATGGACCAATGGATGCAGGAACAAATGTTAAGGTCAAATTGAGGACCGGGGACATAGGCCTTCGAGAACGTCGAGGAAGACATAGGACGGTAGACGACGAAGACGACGAGTTCAAATGTGATTGCGGCTTCGAATGCGAAGACCGTGTGTTTGTAGTCGCGGAATATCCGTGGTACAAGAAGGAGAGGGAAGTGTACGTGACTGAGCTGGAAAAAATTATCGTTAAGATAGACAGACTAGGGAAGGCATTTTTGAGCCACCTTTGGCAAAGTAGANGACGAAGACGACGAGTTCAAATGTGATTGCGGCTTCGAATGCGAAGACCGTGTGTTTGTAGTCGCGGAATATCCGTGGTACAAGAAGGAGAGGGAAGTGTACGTGACTGAGCTGGGAAAAATAGATGGNGTCCCCCCCCCCCCCCTCCCGGACCGGTGGCCAATGGCTAACCGCTAAGGCATGGAAAACATAAGAGTACGCCCCCCCCCTCCCCCCTACCGGTAGTCAATGGTCTAACCGCTGAGGCATGCAAAACATGATAAGATTACGTCCCGCCCCCCCTACCAATAAATATTACATGAGGCTAGGTAGGGGTCGGGAGCATGGCAATAGCTGCATCATCAGTGGGACGTTTCTTGTTGGATGCGCTCCCCCCCCAGCAACCCCTCTTGTTTCTTCAAGCTGGTGGGTATCGCACGATCATATTTCTTATGGGGACGTTTCTTATCTTGTGGCCGAGATTGAGCTGAGTTAAAAGTTGAGCCAACTTTTCTTCACAGAATTTCTCTTAACTGCGGGCCCGTTCTGTATTTTCGAGTGCTGCTAGAGAGAGCGCATCCTAAATGCAAGACTCCAAGGAGTCAGAAAGATTCGCCTCGCTCAGCTTTATAGCTCTCGTTTCCCGGAACAAGAGCATTCGAACAGGCACCCTAAACTACGGTCGAGAAGATCTACGTGGCGCCACGTTGCTTACCAAGATCAGACACTCTGGCAGTCTGCAGCAAGTACACTACAAGAGCTTCAAGAACCCAAAAACCCGCCGCAACTCATCATTGCATACATAGCAGAGGCATCCTCTACCGCCCGTTTATCTCACCTCAGCAACCAGGCCTTCGTCTCTGTCGAAGCACCCCTCTCCGTAAAAATTCAGTCAAAGAGGTACGACCATACTCCTGAGTTTCAGTCCGATACATCACTTGGATTTCTGTAGCACGTGTCTCGAGAGCGGCGAAATTAGCTGCAACATAATGCATTGTCATTGGCTAATATTATCCGGGTGGTCCCGTGTTCGCAGCCGCGGGGCCCCCGAGCTTGGTGCTGCGCCTGAAACCACAACCTACACCGCGCCGCGCAGTGCGTGCGACTTTGCTGGGTACACTGGGCGAAATGGAGGCCAGCCAGCTAGACCTTTTGCGGACTGACGAGCTGGACATTGCTCTTCGGCTGAGCTATCTCAAGCACTACCACGGCGGCGGGGCAGGGGCGGCAGAAGGAGGGGCGGGGTCCGCGGTTAACGACAAGGAGGCTCGCCGGAAGGAGAAGAAAAAGCTCAAGGACTTGAAGGTGCGTGCAATGATACCTCCTCCTCCTTAACTGGTCTGTCAACTCCTCGCTCTCCTGATGCTTCCTTCCTTGTTGATGCAATTGCTTCTTTCTCCCCGGGTTGATGTGTGTTTCGGGGGTCGTGAAAAAATCGTGCGGTCCAACTCGCTCCGGCTACCACGCACACGAACCGGTAGTTCCGCCTACAGCAGTAGACCCTAGGACCCTCAGAGCAAGAGATGCCGACGCTCCAACGAACAGGGGAACGTGCGCCTCCGAACTTGTTCCGGCCAGTTTGTCGTTCGTGAGCTTTCGTTGGTGCTACGATGTGTGTATTCTCTCCACGTTTATTTGGAACCATGCGCTACATATTACATTGCATATGCATACACATCCTACACCGTAGACTGTGGCGGTCAACCGGGCACCAGGAGCGTCTGCTGTGCGTGCTCGGCAATAGATGAAGGGCAGGGGTTGGTTTTTGTGACCCTGGAGAAATAACGAAGTAAACGGCGGGGTGCTTTCACGTACTTGTTGGCTTTCGGTGGTACATTTTGATCCTACCAACTGCTGTCGAAATGGTCACGTGCGGTTCCAAGAAATCATGTGCGACGCTTCACCAAGTGATTTGAATTTTTTCCTCCTCTCTCGTCGAAAACGAGGAACAGCAGTCGTTGATCAAGAACCATGAAAGCGTGCCTTTTGTCTGTTGTAGGCGTTTCTCGAGGAGCATGGCCTGTGACTGCACACGGGCGTGCTGGTGCTTGAATCTGTCGCATAGCGATTCCATTGCTCATCCCGTCGGCACGGTAGTCTGAAAGAGCCCCTGTAGGACACCAGGCACCAGATATTATTCGGGGCTGGCTCTGTCTCTTACACTAGTATTACAATGGTTTGCCGTGGCCTACAGTACGAGAATACAAGGCCCCAGTGTGACAATCGATTCTGGGGCTGGAAGTTCGCTCATTTATTTTTCGCCGCGCCGAGTGGGCAACCTACTGCAGAATCTCTAGCACGACGTGAAAATGGCGACGGATGCCGGAATAGGGCAGAGTACAGCAGGACCAGTACGACAACACCAACAGCGTTGTGGAAGCTGGGTTAAACCATGTAATCATGTCTGTCTTGGATTTCTTTCGCACCCCAGTGCGATGACGCCGATCGGTGCGAAATCAATCGTGGTTGCTACATATTGCGCGTGAGTTATGGCTGTCTTGCATGTCTTGCATGTCTTGCATGTCTTGCATTGCGGAATTCCGCTGAAACTAACCCGGGCAGCATGCAGCCGGCAACCTGCGCGACTTACATACCAAGTTTGACACTGAGGGAATGTCGGCTTTCCTTTGCGTCTGGTGGATTTTGATGTTCAACGTGAGCGGACTGCACCTTCTGGTTACCTGTCCCCTTTTTTATCTTCGGAAACCCGACTGGCCTGCACTAAAGCACTGGATTCTCCTTGCATTTGTTACTGTTGTCCAGTTTCTCGATCAGTTTGGTTTTTTTTTTTGTCGTGTCACGTGAGGTGAACGCTGCTGTGCAAACCTTGCTTTAGGGTGGCGTATGGCGTATTGTCGCTCAATACTCGTGGTTCATGCCGTCGGTTTCGTGTTGTTGTTTCGTCGATCCACGTGTGTGTCTTACTGCTGTATGGTCCCATTGTAGTACACGTAGAACGCTGCGGCGGTCTGAGCGGACGCTGCCCGTGTCCCAAACGACCGAAAATTATCGCGCATTCAGTGCATGCGAGTTTCAACAAGCCTGAGTCGGCCTATCATTGCTTGCTTTCCGCCCCCCCCCCCCCC